GGGAAAGAGCTGGGGACTTCCACTACAGTTGGCATGGCAGGAAAGAAGGAAGTGGCATGGGGTCAGGCACCTTTGTGAACCGTGGTCCTTTGTCAGCCCTTTTAGAGACTGTTTCAATGTCTTTAACTAGAACATAATTTTGCTGTTCAGGAGACGGAGGACTGTGGCTGCTGGAGGATGGCAGAGGCAAAGCCTGAAAGCACTGGTGTGGAACAGCTGGGACTTAAGAGTAAGTCTCTGCTCCGGGATCCTAAAGACCTGTCCCTGGGACCTCGGTTGCCACCTGCCCTATGCCCAAGGCGGAGCAGAAACAGCACAATCCACAAAAAGTCCGGCTCCCTTCACCTGCTGGAGCTTCTTACAGCTAAGATAGCTGAAAAGATTATCTTGGTTTCCCGTGTGACCCAGCCTGCTGCCTTGGCTGCCCTGTGTCCTAGAGTGCAACATCACCCAGGTACGAGGTCCCTGCAGAGGGGACAGTCATTGCTTCGCAGGCAATGGTGGCTTTTGACCCTTGGTGCCTGCTAACACACCACATCCTGGCTGTCAGCTGCTCTCAGGCAGGGTGGTGACATTGCTGAAGTTGGTGAATGGTGCGTGTGCACATCACTTTTCCCAGCCCATTTCTGGGCAGTTTCTCTGCCTGCAACACACTCAACCCCATGACCCCAGGAAGGGCACCCGTCACTCTTGTCCTCCAAGCCTGCCAGCAATTCAGTGGATGCAGAGCTATGAGTGCCTCTGTCCCAAGAGGTTGATCTCTCACTTTCACCAGCTAGACCCTCCCTCCCTTCTCCCTGGGGCAAGGCACGAGAAAGAAAACATACTCTGGAAAATGCAGCTCTGAGTTTACTGTGGGTGTTTTACATGCAGCAAGGTTCAAGCAGGGACAGGGTTATCTCTGAAGGAAGCGGGGTCTGTTGGTGCACAGCCTCTTTCTGGGGCCATCTGGGATGATCCCTGCTTCTGCCAGGGTGATGTAACATGGCCTTGAACTGGCTGCCTGAGACGGGCAGGGAATGGGACAGTCAGCAGCCTCAGAAGAGACAGAAGGGGACCCTTGTGTGCACTGATCAGGTCACTCAGGTGCAGTCTCCAGGGCCACACCAATGCTGAAGCAAGTGCCGCTGCTGCTATTTCTTCATTATTTTTTTGATCCACCGCAGGTAGTTGGAGATGCGAGTGTAGACCCCGGGTGGGTTGTTGTACCCAAAGGAAACGATGCCTTGTGCCACCTTATTGCATACCAGGGGCCCACCAGAATCTCCCTGAAGACAGATGAGAGACTGGTTTTGGAGGCCTCTTCCCTATGGGAACAGGTTTCACCTTGGTTCCCCTCCTGCCCAGGCACTGCCATGAGGGCTGCACCTCTGCTCCGGATCTGCAGCTCTGCTCCTGCCCACACGCCCACCAAGCCGGAGGAGCTGAACAGAGCAGGGGAGTTGGGGCTCTACCCCTGGGGACTGCGCATGGACTTGGTGTCAGGGCATCCAGACAGCGAGTCCACATGGAAGCTACAAATCAAATGCTTGTGACCTCTCCTGGGAACGAGTTAAGTCTGTGGCAGCAGCAGCCCCTGCTCCCAGAGAGCCCACCTGCCCCATGGCCAAGCCCCCAGCCCATCAGCAGCCCATACCTGGCTGGAATCCCTGAGCTCATGGAAGCTGCCAGCACAGACCATGCCGGTGTTGAGATGCGGATAGAAGCGGATGCATTTCCTGCGGCTGTAGATGGAGACTTTGGTTTCAAAGAGCTTGTTGGTCACCTGGTCGTCATCAATCAGGCCCCACCCAGCTATGCTGCACTTGGTGCCTGTGGGGAGGTCGCTGCTGGTCTTGGGCAGTGGAATGGTCTTGACATAGTCATTGAGAGTGGCCTTCGCTGTCAGCTGGGAGAAAGCAAGGTTTTTGTAGAAGGCTATGAGAATAACAGCTGAAGGACACTTTGTGCACAAAGGTAGGGGAGGTCTAGCAGGACATAATGCACTGCAGACTCTGGGGAGCTGCTACGAATAGGGCATGTGGCTCCAAGCCCTGCCCATGGTTCCCACCCTGGTCCTTCCCATTCCTGCCTTCCTCCAGCACTCATGGGCAGAGGCAGAAGCAGTTGATTTGCAGAAGGAGGTAACAGCAAGAACGTGCTCTGCCCAGACCTTGCTAGATCCACAGCCCCACTCTGCCCTCCAACCCCCTGCCTGCTGCAGGACTGCCTTGCCTTGAGCAGCATGATGTCATTAGACACGGTGTCAGGGTCGTATTCAGGGTGCTGGTGGTATCTGAGAACTCCCCGGATCTGCTGGGTTGTTTCTGGTTCGTGGATGTTGTGAGCCCCCAAGATGACTGTGGCATTCC